CCCTAAACCCTAACCCTAAACCCTAAACCCTAGCAGCCGAGGGACCTAGTAATCATGACGACGTCGTCAGGATAACTACATCGACCAAGGGGGCAGTGCAAGGTGGCTTGGCACTCCAGCCCAGGACTGCAGCAACCACTGAGCACGAAGCTGCAAAACCCCACGCGTCCTAGGCCCCAAACCTGAAAGACAAAACCCAGCCCAAGGCAAACAGGGTTTAGAGTTTAGGGTTGAAGGGTTTCCTGATTAGGGGTAAGGGTACCAGGGGTTGGAGGTTGGGGTTCAAGCAGTGCATTCCGGGCACCATCCAGCTAGCAGCAGCCGCGGGACCTAGTAATCATGACGACGTCGTCAGGATAACTGCAGCGACCAAGGGGGCAGTGCAAGGTGGCTTGGCACTCCAGCCCAGGACTGCAGCAACCACTGAGCACGAAGCTGCAAAACCCCACGCGTCCTAGGCCCCAAACCCTGAAAGACAAAACCCAGCCCAAGGCAAACAGGGTTTAGGGTTTAGGGTTGAAGGGTTTCCTGATTAGGGGTAAGGGTACCAGGGGTTGAAGGTTGGGGTTTAAGCAGTGCATTCCGGGCACCATCCAGCTGCAGCAGCCGAGGGACCTAGTAATCATGACGACGTCGTCAGGATAACTGCAGCGACCAAGGGGGTGTGGGGGTTTGCGACCACGGCTGCAGCTCAGTGCTGCACTGCCTTGGGCAAACCCAGCAGTCAGCCGCAAGTTGATTGGCAGCCGGTTCCAGCAGCTTGCCTCGCGCTTTTGATGAGTGGTGGTGACACTAGTGAGGCATTGACAAGGGTCATCCGAGGCTCCTAACTAAAAGGACTGGAAGCTCAGTGGGAAAGGGCTTGAATCAGGGTAGGATCTTTGGCTTTTTTCTCAGACGTTGTATTACAAGGGCAACTTGCACCGTCTTCATGATTTACATAAAGCAACGTGTGTGTCCAACACTTATGATTACAGTAGTCCACAAACTTATCGCGCAAGATCTCATGATTGACACGCAAAGACACTGAATCAACAAGGAACACAACGTTGTTGAACTTGATAACTTTATGCCTGAACGCCAGGCCCGCGATCACGCAGTCAGATCTTGATAGGCGGCGCTGGCGCAGCTGGCGTAGGCATCCACCATCTCCGCGCACGCCCACGCATCCTGCACCATACAAGACAAGCAGTTGCAAGTGACGACATGTCTATATTAGAGCAACAAGGAGGCATGGGCATTTATGTTGACGACAGCAATATTGATGAGCGCAGACGAGCCGTAAGCCCGCTCATTTCCCAAGGTCAAGGCCCGCGCCCACCTGCTTGTGGTGTTGATAGCAGTTGATGCACGCATCCCGCTCCCGCTGGCATGGCACCTCACGCGCGGGAGTGCTGGGGGAGAATTGCATGGCAACAGAAGGGTGTAAGGATGAGGCTTTCACGGTTGGCACTGCGTTGCATACATAGGCATGAGTAAGCCAGTGATGGTAGTAGCACAAGGCGGCAAATTGCGACTGATGCAACTCGCCAAGCTAGTCGAACCTCACAAACCCCATTCACAGCATCTTTGATAGCATTCCCACCCGCCCACCTGTACTCGCGCCGAATGAGGTCGTCGGCTGCCGCGGCTACCTTCTCCATCTCCTGCTCCTCAGCCTTGAGCAGCAGCGACCCAACGCGCCTGCTGGCTGCCAGCGCCCCGCGCAGCTCTGGATCCAGGGAAAAGGCCGTCATGTCTGGTGGTGTGAGCGGCAAGCGGCCTAGGCCGGCGCCCTGGGGGCCTCTGTGCCGTGTCGGGAAGCCCGTGTGTCGGGGGGTGTCAGGTGTAAATGTGAATTGCAGGGTGGCCCACGAACCTTGGAATTAGCAAAGATACCCATATGCATGGCAGTGCGTATGCTCATCCTACAGCGTTCCCAGGATGAATTGCCGTGTGCAAAAAAAGTGATCCGCTGTCAAGCCCTGTAAGCCCACCTCTGTCGGCAGTCTGATGAAAAATCCTGTCACAGACACATCCTATGGTTGCGTGCCATTGCACAGCCCTACAACCCCGGCCCCTCACCGCTGTGGTCGCCGCTGCTGCTGCGGCTCCTCCCGCTTGATGCCGGCCAGCTTTTCAAGTAGCTTTATGCTGATCTGGATCTGCGCGCAAATCAGAGCCGGTGCTGGCATTTTGGCACACAGCAGAATGTCAGCAGCATACATCTTACCATTCAATCAAATGTGGTGTGCCAGGCGAGGTGTCCAACAGCGTCCCCCACCCACCTTGATGCTCTCCATGGCTGGCGCGCACCGCACTCGTCCGCTGCAGGTCCGCTGCTGCTGATCGACGACACGCGCTTGCTGCTCAACGCACTTGCTGTGGCAGGAGGGCGCTTGCAACCCTATCCGGTTGCGGGCACGATCAGGCTGGCGTGCTCAGCTTCCAGTCGGCGACACCGTTCCTTAAAGTGAGGCAGTGAGAGTAAATTGATTGCCAGATCACAGCTACAAGCGTCACCCATGGGTTTTTAATTTGACAGTCATATATCGCGGTCATCCTGTCATTTTCAGCGTTCATTGCGCTCTCGCTGTGACCCGACATGATCTAGTGACTGCGTCGACGGCTCATTACTAACAGACGCGGTGGCTCGTACCGCACACGAATCGCCCTTAAGATTTAGAAAATGCACAGGTTTATCGACATGCATATATCATCCTGCGTGTAAGCCATGCCCTCTTTACTGAGCCTCAGCCAGGGCCACCCTAGCTTCAGCCACATCATCAGCCACAGGCACTCCAACTCTCAAAGTCAGAATTGCATGCCTGACGTGCAACCGTTTGGCCCCCACACATCATTCAACTCGTCTTCCTCATCGCTAGAGGCGTCAGCGCTGGCGGGGGGCGCTTCCTGCAGTCCGTGTGCTGTACTGTACAGGCCGATGTCACAATGCTTGCGCGTCGGGCGGCCACACTGGCCTGATAATGCAGCCGCACCTGCGAGACGGCCAGGAAAAAACTGCACGCAAACCTGGTGATGCTGCTTCGCTGTGCCAGCAAACATGTACGTCACGAGACGCTACGTTTGTTTGGAAGCTTCATGTTGCCATTCCTTTTTGTGCCTGTCTTGCTGGCCGATTTGCTGGGCATAGCGGTGTGCGCCCCTTGGCGGTGCACAGCCGCGTTGTGAGCAGCCAGGGTGCTAACACAGATGAAATCAGTTGCTGGCCTTCCCCTGTCCTGAGGGGCTGTTGTACCATCCTGTGAAAAGCTAACCACGAGGAAGGACCGGGGGGTCGTCGATGAAGTGCCGTCTGTTGGCAGCGGCTGGATCGCGGTGCTTGAAAGAGGAGTGCCGCGGGAACATCATATACATGTGTGATATAAGCAAGGCTACCGTACGTGCGATACCGTACCGGTATGGTATGTGCTCAGTGCGCACAAGGTGACAACGCCTCGCCTGATTGCATAGCTCATCAAGCATGAAGCACGCACAGTGACATACCTGTTGTTCCACACATTCGAACAACTCTGCAGCATTGGAAGGATGCTGCGCCAGCTTCTCATGTGTTCAGTTGACGCACCCTGCCTGGCCATGAGCATGTGCCTGTTGCATGTCGTCAGAGGTGCGGCGCAAACACGGTTTGGTTGATGCTTTCCTTCGGCCATGCACCATATGATTTGATGTCACAGAGCCACACTTTCAGGCCGCTCAGAGCGACGGTGCCGTACCAACGACATGGAGCCAGATCAGCGCGATCACCTCAGTGGTGTTTTGCTAGAGCTCAGTGTTAATTGAAGCATTCAGAACGGTAGCCGAGCGGCAGCCCCCGGCATTAGGTACAGGTGCGCGCTGTGCTGCACCGTGTGAGCAGGTGGCTCATCAGTGCATGTACCATGTGCAGCACGCAGCAAGGCGAATCAGAGGCTGCCCTGTCCATGCACTACAGGGCGTATCCTTACAACAATTGCGGCGCTCAACCCGCTTGCGTCACTGTGCAGAGGCCGGCGGTGTGTGAGCTCCGCAACAACAGCACCAGCGGCGCTGCGAGGCGACCGCGGGTGCGTCGTTGCCTGCCGGCGGCGACGCAGCCATGGATTCTATAGCATATCTGGAGGAAGCAGTTGAAGTGTCCTTCTCGGAATCGATCGTGGCACGGGACGACGCGCTCGCGGTGCTGTCGGCCGTGCCAGGTCTGGGGCCCCCGGACTTGTGCTGGCTGCAGAAAGGCCGTGGTGCCTGGTCGCCTGGCGACGACGGTGTTGCGGCAGGCTCCCACGGCTACTATCACCACGTGTTGGGCGGCGATGTTAGCAGCACCGGCGCCATCGCTGGGCAGTTTGCCGAGCTGTTGGCAGGCATCGAGCGCCCCGGCTTGCTGGCAGGGCTGTGGAGCGGCTCTGAGCTTTCGATCCAGCGCGGCTTCTACTGCTGCTACGATGCCATCTCGCGCACCGACCTGCGCTGCGAACTCTGTGTGCCCGGCGGCGTGGTGGGCGGTTCGCAAGTAGCAGTGCGATGCGCCAGGGCGGCATGACCTTTCAGTTGTTGGTCGCGCTTGCATGTGGCGCTCCATGCCGGCGGTCGTGCATTGTGCCTTGTGATTGGCCCAATGCGTTGTGTCTGTGCCAATATAATGATTACCTACATGGTGGTTCTGGCTGCGTGCTTTCCTACCTCACAGGTATGCGGAGTAGTGGATTCCGCCGGCAACCTGCATGACGCAAATGATCAGCAACTGTGGCGGCAGGCGCAGGTGCTTTGCGGATTGAACTCTGCCGCCGCCAATGGCCCCCGCGGGTGTGTTGAGTCACTTCAGTCAGGCTTGTATCGTGCTTGGGTTTGAGTGCAGTGCTCAAAGTCGTCCAGTCTTTGATCTGACCCAGATGACACTTCCACTACAGCTGCAGACTCCTGATCGCTCCCTCATCCCAAGGTGTCGGCTTTCGTGCGGGCGCAACTGTACGAACCAGAGATGACACTGAATGGTGGTTGCATCGTGTTCCGCGATCCTGTGGCCTCTCCAGCGGCGGAGCAGCAGCTGTTGGAAGCAGTCCAGGCGCTCTACGCCCAGGGCGTGCTGCCCTTTGCACTGGAGCCTATAAGCGTGTCACAGGGGTGTGGGGCTGCGCCCGAGCATTGCGACCCGGCTCTATTCGCGGTCTGGCATCACTTTAGAAAGATGCAGCGGTGGGACGCGGCGGCAGCATTCTTCTCACGCCTTGCTGGTTGCTACCCGGCGGCGGCAGTGTGGCAGGCGGCGACCTTGCGGGCGGCAGGCCGCGGCGAAGGTGTCATCGAGGTGCTGGGCGCGGCGCTGGAGCGCACCCCATCCAGCCCCCCTTTGCTGGCCGCCATGGCCGCCGAGTGCATGCGCCTGCAGCAGGTGGGGGATCCTCAAAACAGAGAGAAAAGCTGCCAGCCATCACGCTGGTTTGACGTGCTTTGTGGCATGCTTTGTGGAACGGGCACCTGCAGAGAGGATTCCGGGCTGCGTCGTTGCAGCTAACTATTGGTTTTGCCGTCCCCCAACCTGTCAATGCCAAAGGTAGACACTGCGGCGCGGCTGGCGCGCCGGGCGGTGAACGCACAGCCTCGGTGCCGGCCGGCATGGCTCATTTTGGCGCGTTGCTACGCGGCAGAGGGGCACTACCCCGAGGCGCTGGTCACGCTCAACGCAGTGCCAACGCCACCCCTGCCGCGTGACGAGCGCGAGCTGCTGATGGTGGTGCCCCCACCAGAGCCGCAGCGCAACACCACGCCGCAGGTGCACAGGGCGCACTGCCTGTCCAGACCCCGGGGCAATGCTGCACCGGGGTGCTGCTACAGGGTCCGCAGCGTGCCTGTCTGCCGCCGTGTAACACCACTGCAGTCCTCGCTCACCTCTGGTCTTTGCTTGCTGCCGCGAGATCCCCGTCCCCGTCCCATTCCACCGTTCCCACGCCCATCGCCATCCTTCCCAACCCAACCCCTCCACCCGGCACCCCAAGGCCAAGCCGTATCAGCCAGACCTGGAGGCGGCGCGCGCCCTGGCCCTAGAGGATGGCGACACTGGTGGCACGTCGCGGCTGCTGGCCTACCTGCCTGGTGCGGTGCTGCTCAACAGAGAGCCCGCAGACTCGGGGCCCTGGCCAGACCCCTCTCCCAACCGCATCACGCGCGCCGTGCTGGGGGCGGTGTACGGCCAGCTGCAGGACATTGTCGGCGCCATCGGCTGGGTGAGTCTCCGTATAGGCATGCCTCTGGCGGGCGAACAGCGCTCCTGCAATCCACGTCTCCGCCTGGCATTCCCTGCACTTGCTGCAGGCAGCATGCCTGGCTAAGGAAGCCCGCAAGTTGCTGCCAAGGCTTGCAACGCTTGTCTATCACACTTGTGTGCGCGATCGACCATACGTCTTGCCCCCTTGCCTAACAGGATGGCTTCCTGGCGGTGCGGAGCAGCGTATTTGTCATGCATGACACTGCCCGCTCGGCCTCAGCAACAGTCCCCGCCGTTTCAGCTGACGCGGGAACCGCCTCAGCAACTGTGCAGTCTGCAGCCACATGCTCTGTCGACGTTGGCGACAGCACGCGGTCATCTGCTCTTCCAGATGAGACCGCCTGTGCATCTCCCAGCAAAAGGGCACCCTCACCTGCCTCCCTTGTGAATCAGCAGCAGCAGCGGCAGCAGCAGCAGCAGCAGCAGCAGCAGCAGGACCAGCTGGAGGGCAAGTCGAGGATGCAACACGACAGCAGAACGCAAACTCCTGTGTTCCACAATGGCCTGCCGCGGAGCAGCGCCAGCAGCAGTGGCAAGGGTGACGACAGGCCCGACGCAGCGGCATTCTATGCCAGCAGGCTCCAGGCCGCTCTGGGAGGCTCAGGCAGCCCTGCCCTGCCAAAGCATCAGCTTCCGCCGACAACACCGCCACAGCAGCAGCAGCAGCAGCAGCAGCAGCAGCAGCAGGTGCAACTACCATGCAGCAGGACGGCCACGCCTGGCGCCCCTGCCAGCAGCGGCCGCGCGGTGCACGAGCCGATGGCGGGGCGGG